TAAGCTATTAAGTTAAGACAAACTAGCTTATATCTAATATTAGTAAGAACACACCATCACAATTAACTTTCACAATTTAATGGTGTTTTTAAGCAACTAATTATTTTGTAAATATTACTCTCTATTTCCGGTCAACCCATTGCAAATCAATCGAATGATCAAAACATATTTTGTGTTCACACTTTCACTAATATAATATACTTAATACATTAAAATCTATATATTTCAATACTACAATTTATCATGACAGTCGAAACATTTCGAAACAGAATAATTTAGAAGTCTTGATAATGTCGTGTGAGGAACACAACATAATCAATGGTTACGTGTAATGTCAAATAAAGTCATATATTTCGAATGTTAATGTGAAATAATAGATTCATTTTCCAGAGTTGTAACCAGGTCAGAATATAACCTCAATCCTTTTTGGAAATATGAATCAATTTTGACAAGCATGAAGTTCTCAATGTTAATTTTTCAATGTTACTATTTTATTTATATGATCCCTCAGGAGTGGCAACACTAGAAAATATTGTGATATATTACATCCGAGATTATTCTAATCTTGGATGTAATATATCACAATCGTAAATATAACCCAATATATTTAGGATTTTATAAGTATAAGACTGGACCGTATCGTAATAAATAAAATAATCAACTCTAATATAAATATCTAATAAAAATAAAATAATACAAAATAGAATCGAATCCTTCATAAAGTCTCAAAAATAGTGATAAATCGGTTGACGCTAATGAATATGAAAATGATTTTTTTTATTTGTGATGTAACAATTCTATCAGTCGCCGTGAAATTTAACATACATGCATTATTTTAAATAAAGAAATATTATTGAGTAAAAACTTCTTTTTGCAGTCTTTCAATAAGGACGTGCTGTAGAAGTTACAAAAACAACTCGTTATTACTGTATGTTTACAGAATTATATATATATATATATATATATATATATATATATATATATATATATATATATATATATATATATATATATATATATATATAACGAATCATTAAGAAACTAACGAATCGTAAAGTAATTTATAGAAGTTATGAATTCAATTATAATAATTAATGAACCTCTCTTCATTTATATAATGACCCAATGACCCTATTTTTTCTAAGTGCGGCCCTGTTCCCATCACAATACATTGCTCATGAAGAGACAATAACTAGATATTCGGGTTTACGCGTCGTTGTGAAATATGTAATGGGATTGTTTCAATGTCGCGTTGAGTAACACCGTTATGGTAATTAAAGTAATTAAACATCAAATACTGTGAGAAATTATTTGCATTTTCAACATTTGTTGTTAGACCTACAAGGGCCGATTCAATAATATTTGTTCAACGGTAACACTCGACAAGTGCATCTGACTGTCCTATTAGAGATTATAGTTCTGAGTACATTTATTATTTTATACTTACTCGCATCTTTGTCTGCGTAAATTAAGGTAACAGTGTACTATGTAAAGCAAGTAATTCTTGTTATATTAATTATCCAAATATAAATTTTAAAAGTCGGAGATTAAGCTGTTATTCAATTTTGAATCCTAATTTTTAACACATAGAATACTTTCAATTCATGGCAAACATTATACAATAATATAGATAATTTTTAAGGCCATCAAAAATATAATACTAGCTAATGGCTCCGCTAAGGGGTCGTATATTATTTCCAATTCATATCATTCGCAATTACCGAAGGAGACGGGGCCTACAAAGAGGAATTGAGTGACAGAAAAGATTGATTTTATTCAATTCCCAACGATTCATCGCGGTCGAGTCGGACTTCTTTCTATGTAAAATACGTCAATTTTTTAGACAAATTGATCAATCCCGGTAGGTGCTCCTTCACAATCGAATACGGATCGACACCATCCATCATCCACTGTCGCTATATATCGCACCAAACCTGTATTTTGTTTGCACCTTTTGTCTTTTTATGACATTGTTATCATTAATATTATTGAGAAATAGATTTTTTTGTGATTAATAAAGTGTACTTATTAATACTACCTCTCGTTTCGACAAAAGGCGTTATTTTTAGTTAATATAATTAAACATAACTATACTGAAGAGAGTATACGTGAACTATCTTCTTCAGCTTCAAGTTTTAATTACTGTTATTTATTTTACATCTCACATACAATTTATTTTTATTTCTTTTTGTGCCATTTGAAATGGTAAACAAGCTGATGACCCATCTGATAGAAAGTTGTAACCGTTACATATAAACATGAATAGCACAATGGACTTGTATCCATTGATTCATGTTTATTGACTTTATTTATTAACTAGTTCTTCGCTCGCTACTCCGTTCGCGCGGATTTCAACATTAGGAGACCCAATTAAATAGAGTCGTATTAAAACAAAATATAAACCAGTTTTTAAGTAAGAACTTCAGTAAAAACCGTATTCTATTTAGTTCAGTGATTTTAGCGTGATTCAGAATAAACATGTAGACAGACAGACAACCCCTTACTTTAATATTTTATAGATATCTTCAATGTACAGACATAATTAAGTTACAGTTTTATTATTTTAGTAAGATAATATAAATTATAATGCCCATAGCATCACCTCACACAATGTCAATCCTAAGGACTTTTTTTGATATACGATGATAGAATGGTAACACCGCCTGCGCTAACGGTGTACACTGGCGGGACACCAGTGAGGTATGATAGGTGAGAATAAAAGGCAGGTTAGATAGCCCATCGTGACGAATACACCAGGAATTCAGAACTATGGTTTCCGGGGGGGACCACGTGGAGGTCGACCTGACAGGGTATATTGCTAGCAACGTGACTGGTAGTCCGCATTACTAACAATCCCTTCGCCCCCAATCCTAAGGACTAGGCTTTTTTACCTGTAATTTTACTGCCAAATCGCACCCTACAAACCCAAATATACATCTGCAAACACAACTGTTTGTCAGCAAAAATGCGGATGAGACTAAGACTATGGAAAAAAATATTACAATTGTGTCTGGAATCCAATGACAACTTGGTATAATCTGTAACCTTTGTACGTGTCTACATAATAATAACATCACCTTCAAACTTATAATTTTGTATTATTCAATATTTGACATTGTAAAACATCCAAGGTTCCCTTCATTGTTCTCATACCGACACTATGATTACTAAAAACTTAAAATTCAAAGGCAGTATCTAAAATAGGGCTAATAAATTTCCCAAAACAGAAACATTTGACCTTGACGGTGTTTACAACAAGACCTACATTCTAATAACCTTTTGAATGCAGTTCATAGAACATTGGGCGCTCGTCGAGTTTTGCATAATAATGACACAATGGGAGATCGGGGCTTGTCATTACAAAACTCTAGAAAGAGTGCCACCTCTGAAGCCGCCCTCTCGTGTGCCTCATGAATTATTCGGAGTTGTGTCACTCTGGTGGACGCCCCTGCCAACTGGCTCGAATACACCGACACAATAAAACATTTAAAATCACTAGCATACGGAATGCAGTATTTTTTTGTTATAACAGTGTGTTAGAAACGACGAAACGAAAAAATGCAAAATGTTTATTAATGTAAAAATAACATGCCTTTTAAAATAAGGAAAATATTAATTCCTCTATGTATGTATGTGTGTATATATATATATATATATATATATATATATATATATATATATATATATATATATAGGCGGCTACAGGATTATATCGCAGAATCAAGAATTTCTGATAAAAGCGTATGAGTTACTTAATTCTTTCTGGCCAGCCTGTAAGGGGTCTGGCATGAAGATAAATAAATATGTATATTGATTTTGAATTACTAGTAATTGATTTTCGATCAATAAATGCACTGACTATGTTGTTTAATAATTCTTGTTATCATATTTATATCCAGCTCTCTAGGGCGCCACTATCAGCTATCTATTTATTGATCTATTGATTGACATTGTAAATACAAACATTTTAAAATACAAAAATAAATATTATTAACGATTTATTCATTCTCCATTCGTAAAAATAGAACGAGTAAAGTATTTTCAAACTCCTAATTTAATAAAATATTAAACTTCCAGGAATGATCACATTCCAAAATAGATATCTATTTGAGGTATAATCTCAAATAAAATATAATAATTACATGACTAGCTTCGAAACAGAAACATTTTATTAATTATTAATACGAACCTTTACACGCACCTTCGTCCACGTGAACGGGATATGTTTACTGACCGAGATAATACGTAACCTTTGTACTTCTTTTTCCATCCCATACCGTATACTAAATTTCATAGTAATTGATTAAGCCGCTAAGGCGCTAGAAGGTAACAAACAAAGAAACTCACTTTCACATTTATAATATTAAGTAAGGATTACCATAAACGTGAAGTAGGATATATTATACTACTTTTTTACCCCAGTTTAGTGAATTAATTTGAAAACCCAGCTAGAACATTATAGATGTGAAAGTTGAATTTGATTATTTATTTGTTACCTCTCGGCGCCATGATGGCTCAACTAGTTTTTTTTTTATGCAACTAAAATGGTAAAGCTAACAGCCTACCTGATGAAAAATGGTAACCATAGACACGAACAGTATTATGGTGATAACAAAATATACAGTGTCGTCCATGATACCTTTCATGCGTTGTCATTCTTGAGGACTAAGGTGTTATGCCTCTCTATCATTATCATGTAAGTTGACATCCACGTAGTATTTTGTATGGAAAAGAACGTGCCACTTTTCATCCTGGTCAATTGAAGGAAGTCACAAATCCAATGCTCGTGTGTTTTATATTTGTATTATCAAAATTTAATTTTATTATAATCGTCATCATCATTATCCTAACTGACTACTGTAATTATTTATCACTACTTACCCAATATTTATATACCTACCTATTTTTTCTCTGACTTTCCATAAACAATTATAATTGTAAATATATTTAGTTCTTTAATATTATTTTACATTTAACTAACATAAAACTTTTCTTTACAGATCTAAGTGTTAACGAAAATCATTGGTGTAGCAGTCTTCATAAACGTAAGTTAATTCCAATTTATTTCATTTTGTTGTTTATAAACTTTTGTTAAATCTAATAATATTAAAATATGTTTTACTTAATTGAGTGATGTTTTGAAGAATAATAATCAGTTTGTTTAATTAGTTATTGTACTTTTACTGAAACTTATACATAACTTCTACTTATACATACGACAATAAAGTTACTACATAATTTTATATAATTGTAGCAAAAAAATAACTTAACATTACTTCAATAAAATATAACAATATAAATTTTCCAAATTCGATGTACAAAACAATATAACAAAACAAACGTTGGTATTACATTATTATTTTTATAATACATATTTCTGTCTAAAATAAACAAATAATAATTCCCCTTTATTTACATTACATTTTCTTTGTATTATATTTAATAATAAAATTTAATATAATACAAAGAAAATGTTTTTTACATTTAAAGAACTGGATTACTTTCTGATTTATTAATATTAGTTTATTTCATATATATATTACCATACTAATTTGAAGGTATAAAAATATTATTTTATCAGATGCAAAATTAATGTTCATTTTTATTTAAATAAACACTCGTTTATATGAATTTACATTCATTATAATTTATGTCAAATGTTCTACAAAATTTTACGCATCCAATTCACCTACTTTGTTTTAGAAACAAGTCAATGAAATAAATGGAATAGCAAATTGTGTTTTTAAACATTTTATCATCAAATGCCATCGTTAGAACATTTACAGTAATTAGACATTTAATAAAAAAATACATTTACAGCTTCCAATGAGTAACAACATTATATAATTAATCACAGTTAATTAATAATACACTTAACTAATAAATAGCCTAAATTTGCTTACCCGTTTGTATTGAATTTTGTCCGTTTGAATTAGATTAAAGAATACTAATCTAGGATATACTTCAAGACATGTCCTAAATTTATAATAATTATACTCTTTATGTGTTATCATTCCTGAGGACTCAGGTGTTATGCCTCTGCACCTTGTAATTTCACTGCCATATCCTACCTTTCAAACCGAAACACAGCAATGCAAACACAACTGCTTTACGGCAGAAACATGAATAGGACAAAGGTACCCAAGCAGACGGCTTTTGTGCAAAATCTCCCTCTAATCACTGTGCTACAGTATGTCGAATTTTGCCTTTTGAACAAGGCAAAACAACATACCTAATAAGCTTAAAGAGAAATAAATCTTCTACTAACAAATACTAACAATTTCTTTTGACACATCGGTTGAAAATGTGTGTATGTGTGTATAAACATCGCCATAATGATGGCGGTGTTTACACACACAACACACAACATTAATTCATTGACTTATCAGTAACTATAGATCCGATAAACCGTTAATATAATTAAGGACACTGAGTTAAAAGCTTCACTGCCAATATCATCCGCGGTAGGGTGGAGGGCGGAGCTGAGGCTAAATGGATTAGGGTAAACAGCATAAAGAGCCTTTTGTATCCGAAATTAAATGTCACCCGACGTCATTATTCAGGCTCTGGGTGACACGCACGCGATCTGCCGTCTGCCACTCTGATATAGACGCGGACCCATTTACACCGCACGATTTTGTTTCATTTGTTTTGTAGCGCTCCCAACCTACTTATTTTATAAAAAAATATTTTAATGTTTAATACAATTCGAGTATGTTTGGCAACAATTTCTTATATGTGATCTTGATACTCATTGATACTTCATTACATGTAGTAAAAATATTAAGATTAAAATCTTAGAATTTTTATATTCGATAATATAATATATAATAATATCGGACTTACTATTGCCTACAATTTATATATCTACATTCGGTAACTTTATTATAACTATAATTTCTATTCAATTATATTCTGTTCTTAAAAGTATAACTTACTTATAATTTTTATCATTATTATAATATCTAATACTAATGATCAAATTTAGATATGCAATTTTCATAAGTAAGACAATCACACCAAAATTAATATGCGAATCGACATCCATTACCACTGTGTTAGGAGGCCTTCAGAAATAGAGTTACATTCACATGTTAATAGGTTTTTTTACTGCAGTTCTTTCTATTAACATCTTATCATCTAATCTTAACTTAACATCTATACTATTTTCACACAAAACTATTTAAAAGTATTTCAACCATCCAAGTGGTATACTGTTGTCATGTTTTTGGAAGTATGTTACGCTATTATGACGCCAATTTTCTGTTTATTTAGATGATTCTTTTTCCAATAGATAGTTTAAGCCCTGTAATAATTCCATATTAATTTTTGAAATTAAAATAACATTATTAACCTTAAAATAACATTTTTATGACTGATTAAAATTACTAAAATTAAACAAATGCAAACTCTATATATATCTATGCAAAAATATTTTTAATTTATAGTCATAATTAGCATCTATTGTGAGCCTTTAAAATATTCTAACCATGCTTTAACGTTCACATAAAAGTAGCCATTATTTTTGAGTAACTGAACAACTAATGTTAGTAAACAAACTTTCAAAATATCTTTATTTTTATGACCAACAGGTTAAAATAATCGAATGACCATTTTGTATACATATTATTATATTATTTATATACTACAGTTTGACGTCACACTAGATGCAACGATGACTTCAAATACGTTGCAACAGTCACTGGATGCAGGTGGCTTAGAAACATTTCTTATATCAATCTATATAGAGTAGTAACGTTAGTAAAATTAATGAGTTAAAATGATGGTGATGATATTATTATTTTGATATCATTTATCAACTCAGACAAATCTTATTCACAAAATATTAAGAAAAGTATATTATTTCATTATCTTAACTAACAACCCCTTAACCATACTAGATAAGGCTCTCATCCTATAAAAGAGGATATTACCTACGATTATCGTATCAGGCAGATACTTACCTAGTCGTACTTAGATACTTAGTCAAAGGTTTGGTTCTTACAGGATTACATCTCGAGAATTCCTTCTCTTGGTCTGTATTCTCTTACTAACGTTATCTGGAGATAAAGTGATGACATACTGTACATCTCTGTCACTACTCGAAGAGAAAAACTTAATTAAATCGTCCTGTATAAAAGGCCCTATAGCTACTAACCCATTAATTATATTTGTAACGGCTGTCGAAGATCCCGCTAAACAAAACTTTGAAAGCGAATTAAATAAATGAAAATCATTTGTAAAGAATCTCAATACAATAACTTTATTTTGACCTCATATCACTTAGTAATTAAACAACTACATTAATTGTAATTAAATTTGCTGAATATTATAATAATACCTATAGTATATATACCTATAGTATAAATATATATGTATATATATATTTTCGTAAAATTACATAATATTAATATTACGTCTTCATCTTTATCGTCAATAAAACACTTTCATCTTTATAAATAAACTAATCTTACATATTTATTTTATAAAATTTGCTTAAATTAAATTGTCTGTGCTATTATTTTATACTATGACGAGATACAAGTGAAACTATGATGAATTCAACAGGAACTATTAACAATGATTTCCAGGAATCGCAGCATTGCTAGCAGTGGGACCACTAGTACCTCTTTTAAACAATTACTTGCCAATTAATAAACTATAGCCGCCTTAAATAGTCTATAGTATCATCATGTAACTTAAACTACAAGTTAGAGGAATCTAACGACACCCCATTTATTAAAACCCGTCCAATGTTAAAGGAGTCGAACATACATAGCATAACAATCTATCATGCTTCTGAGGAATATTACCTCCCATTTTCCACGATCGGATAAAAATAGACACATAAAGAAAAAAAATTCATAAACCTAAAATTATATACATTATTACAAATAAAACATAGTGTATTACTGCGTGTATGAAATAAAAGAAGCGAAGCATTTATTTCATATGCAAGAGTAGAATATATGGCAGGGCATAAAATTGTAACTGGGGTCAGATAGCGCTTACAATTTTCATAACGATTCCAGTAACAGACTGCCATGTGTGGGTGACAATTCGACCCTTTCCATTTCTGACTTTCATTAAACAACGAATTGACTGATAGATAACGAATATCTAGTCGAGTTGTAGATAAATTAATTACAGTCTACAAGCGAATTCCAAGGGATCTTTTGTGAAATGTTGACCAAGTACAGTAATTTAGTCGATATTACAATTAGCTATTGAGACTAAAGTAAAATAAAGTTCTTTCTTCTCATCACTAATATAAAATTTAAATATTTAATTATCTCGGTATCTCTATTTGTCCCAAGTAATATACTCACAGAATATATTAATTACATATGGCTAGTTAATTACATATGGTTAATTACATATTAATTTTTAATAATAACCTGTCATAATTTCTTACTTATGACAGGTTATTTTTTAAAATCCATATACTCATTACTTAATCACACTTAAACACAAGTAGTGCAACTTTAATATTAAATTTTTAGTTCTAAGATACCTATCTTAGGACTAAAAATTTAATATCAAATAATTATTATTTATTAGACCTCTAATAGAACCTAATGAACTTTGAGTAAAATTAAATTCGGGGTTTAAACATAAATTTTAGCATCTTATAAGATGATAAGACTTATTATATTCATTCTCATAATTCAATGTAAGTCTCAATATAACAAAAATAATACACGAAATATCAATTCACGAAATCAAAAAACTTAAGGTTTATCTTCAAGTCGTCTAAATGATTCTGTCAATCTCACTTAATTGAATGCAAATAGACTTATTCGACAAGACACTGAAATCAATAAATTAAACGTAAATTGTACAACGAACCGTGCTTTTATTTGTTTCTTTATTAATTCAAATGCATATATTTAAATAAATTTGAGAGTGCCGTAGCTTAGTGGCATAAGAATAATGAATATATATATATATATATATATATATATATATATATATATATATATATATATTACAATTTAATTTCTTCAATTTATTTTTAAATTATTTTGAATACGCTAAATCCAAT